GACGACTGTTATCTTCGGCTGAACAATTTTTGGAATTCTCCACGTCCATCTCTAGTGACATTCTTTCTGACAAGGGTCAGAAAGAAAGGATTGTCAGGATTGTTCTCCTCTTCCAAAAGCTGTCCGCCCCTCCCCGTTGAATCTCTTTCCCCCAAGAATACTGGCCGCCCTCCCCTCTTGACCCCATTTCCACTCGAATACACACGTATACCCAAACTCGCAGCTTGCAACGCATATTGGAGGCACTGGCCATAACTTCGATATCCAAGGAGCGAACATCGTAGGCCGAGGAACCTCAATATCAGAAAGGCTAATGCTTGAGTCATAGTACTCAGATGACAACTCCGTAAACGGACATCAAAGTTTTATGCCATTCCTGAGTAAAGGACAGGAAAGATCAAACCGAACTTAAGAATTACGAACGGAGACGGTGCCGCAACCGGAGGAGGTCTATGTACAGCTGAGTGATATACTATGCTGCTTATCTACAGAAGATGGAAAAACTACAGATCACAATACTTTAAAGGATAGTGCTTTTGGTTTCAAAATGATGTGGCCTACGCATAGACGAAAATACTGGCCAGCAATGGTTTTTTGGGTAGTATTGCCGGCAAAGACAAGGGAGACTAGAATGGTCATTTTCTGGCTTATTAGCCGACGTCAGCCAGTCATACCCAACGCCAATTGGTGCAATACATTTGCTTAATTCAGTTGGGCGGGTAAAATCGATCCAAATATGATTAGATTCACGGCTTACGGAGAGTCTATTAGCTCAATAGTAGAGCGGTGGCTGCGCAAAAGCCTATCCTGCTTTGTGGGGGTTCGACTCCAACCGAGGCCGCGAGTTTTCTTCACAATTTTTTTCTAGTTTGCTGCCTGGCCCGACTGAACTCGGTTCCAACGTAGGGAGATGGGTGTAGCAGACCTTGGCCGCCGGGAGGGCGGGTGGGAACGCGGTCATAGACTGAACTCGGTTGATATAAATATCAAATTTACGATGGAAGCTGAAAGAAATAACCAACTCCCCTTCCCGATGTCCTTGTGCTCCCGTGTTCAACTGGAGCACTGCAAACCGAAGCATTCGGAAAACCCACTAGCATAAGGCAAATACTAAACTTCAACAGCAATCAGCCCTGTCTCACAAACTTATCTGCGTTCGTACTCTTCTCCAAAGACGATACACATTACAGCACATCAGCTGACAGAAAAGCGGACCAACAATACCTTCGCGACCTCTTTCGAGCTAATAGATATTCAATCTCTCTTATCAAACAAGGCAGGCACCGAGCGAATAGACGACGGCCAAAAGAACAGCAACCCGAAGTCTGGAGGGCCATTCTCTACATAAAAGGAATATCCAAAGCATTATCTGGACTGTTGCCGTCCACTGGTTTAGGCCTAGGCCATCACCTCATGCGACAATACGCCACCGTGTGATGCAACCTAAATACAGATTGTCTCCTACTGAATCATCCCGAATTATCTACAGGATGCGTTGCAACGACTGGGGCTGCAAGTACTTCGGAAAAAAATTGCAGACCCGTCTACACGAACACAAGCTGGCAGCTCTGAGACTTGACTCAAACTCGTAGCTCACAAAACATATCGGAGAGACTGGCCACACCTTCGATAGTCAAGGAGCAACCATCGTAGGCTTAGGAAACGAAGACGGCCCCTGCGACGAACCCACCGGCAGAGGGAGCAGGATTACCAGCATCCTCTACCGTGTAGACGAAGCGCAACACCAACTGCCGTCAACCTACGCCGAAATTCCCACGAGGGGCAATGCAGCGCACAATAAGAAAAAAATCGATCAGCCTACAGCCGACAATTACAGTCGCACCTTCAACTTGCTGATTGATAAGGGCAGTTTACGCTTTGACAAAGGAGACCCGGCCCAGCTCTCCGAAACCTCAGCCAATACACACACTCATTCCAGTGAGCACTAACATGATCTCTCCTTTTATCCCATAATTCTTACTTTTACAAAGTTGGATGACCTAATTACGACTTCTGGGGGCAACGCCCGCACGAATGGACCATTACAAACAAAAAGAAGATGAAGTAACCTCATGCTTACCAGATATTTTGGGGGCTTGGAAACTCGTCCAGCTGAGCTCTTCTTGCGGACGATGGGAAACGGCAGAACCTCCTCCTCGGGAAGATCCGGCTCAAAGTCAGGATCATCATCTTCTGAG